TCTCAATTGCAGACAGGGGGAAAAAGTAAAAACACCATCCATGAGGACACCATTTTCAGAAATGCTTTGCAGTGCAAACATGAATTTGAGAGACAAGAGGGACACCAGATGGGTTGTGTTAGTCAAATGATAATCCAAAAACAAATATCTCATCCTCCACATCTGAAAATTCATGCTAGAGAGAAATCATATGAATGTAAGGAATGTAGAAAGGCCTTTAGACAACAGTCATACCTTATTCAACATCTGAGAATTCACACTGGTGAGAGACCCCATAAATGTATGGAATGTGGAAAGGCCTTTTGTCGAGTGGGAGACCTTAGAGTACACCAGACAATCCATGCTGGGGAGAGACCCTATGAATGTAAAGAATGTGGGAAGGCCTTTAGACTTCATTATCACCTTACTGAACATCAGAGAATACATTCTGGTGTGAAACCCTATGAGTGTAAGGAATGTGGGAAGGCCTTTAGTCGTGTTAGAGACCTTAGAGTACATCAGACAATTCATGCTGGAGAGAGGCCTTATGAATGTAAAGAATGTGGGAAGGCCTTTAGACTTCATTATCAACTAACTGAACATCAAAGAATTCATACTGGTGAGAGGCCTTATGAATGTAAGGTTTGTGGCAAGACCTTTAGGGTACAACGACATATTAGTCAACATCAGAAAATTCATACTGGTGTCAAACCCTATAAATGTAATGAATGTGGGAAGGCCTTTAGTCATGGCTCATACCTTGTTCAACATCAGAAAATTCATACTGGTGAAAAACCCTATGAATGTAAAGAATGTGGTAAGTCCTTTAGTTTTCATGCAGAACTTGCTCGACATCATAGAATTCATACTGGTGAGAAACCCTATGAATGTAAAGAATGTGGAAAAGCCTTTCGTCTTCAAACAGAACTTACTCGGCATCATAGAACTCATACTGGTGAGAAACCCTATGAATGTAAGGAATGTGGGAAGGCCTTTATTTGTGGTTATCAACTTACTTTACATCTGAGAACTCACACTGGTGAGATTCCCTATGAATGTAAGGAATGTGGAAAAACCTTCAGTAGTCGCTATAATCTTACCCAACACTACAGAATTCACACTGGTGAGAAACCCTACATATGTAATGAATGTGGAAAAGCCTTTCGTCTTCAAGCAGAACTTACCCGACATCACAGAATTCATACATGTGAGAAACCCTATGAATGTAAGGAATGTGGGAAGGCTTTTATTCATAGCAATCAATTTATTTCACACCAGCGAATTCACACCAGTGAGAGCACCTACGTATGTAAAGAATGTGGGAAGATTTTTAGTCGTCGCTATAATCTTACTCAACATTTTAAAATTCATACTGGTGAGAAACCCTACATATGTAATGAATGTGGGAAAGCCTTTCGATTTCAAACAGAGCTTACTCAGCATCACAGAATTCATACTGGTGAAAAACCCTATAAATGTACGGAATGCGGGAAGGCCTTTATTCGTAGCACTCATCTCACGCAACATCACAGAATTCATACTGGCGAGAAACCCTACGAATGTAAGGAATGTGGGAAGACGTTCAGTCGGCACTATCATCTCACTCAACATCACAGAGGCCATACTGGTGAGAAGCCCTACATATGTAATGAATGTGGGAATGCTTTTATTTGCAGTTATCGACTTACGTTACATCAAAGAATTCACACTGGTGAGATTCCATATGAATGTAAGGAATGTGGAAAGACCTTTAGTCGTCGGTATCATCTTACTCAACATTTTAGACTTCATACTGGTGAGAAACCTTATAGCTGTAAAGAATGTGGAAATGCCTTTCGTCTTCAAGCAGAACTTACTCGACATCACATAGTTCACACGGGTGAGAAACCCTATAAGTGTAAAGAATGTGGGAAGGCCTTCAGTGTTAACTCAGAGCTTACTCGACATCACAGAATTCATACTGGTGAAAAACCCTATAAATGTAAAGAATGTGGAAAAGCCTTTATTCGCAGTGATCAACTTACTTTACATCAGAGAAATCATATTGGTGAGGAAGTCCTCCTATGTGTAATGTAAAGAGAATACGATGGCCTTTAGAAAGTGCCCTTTAGCAGATAATTTATAATTTAAGAAATCTTCTGTTTGTTACAGAACATGTGGGAATCCCTTTTACTTCATGCTCACAATTTATCAGAAATTCTTTCATATGTTAAATAGTTGAAAGACTGTAGCATCACTCAGTCCCTGTTAGACTTTAGAAGATCGATACTGATGCACTGCATCCCAAACCATCAAGGACCCTTTCCCCTGCAAACTGTTGTTGAACAGTGCTTCTCTAAAATGCCGTAATAATGGGCCAGGTGAAGTGGCTCACACCTGTAATCCCAGCACTGTGGAAAGACAGGAGTTCAAAACTAGCCTGGGCAACATAGTGAGCCCCTGCCTCATGGCTTCAGTGAGCCATGATTGTGCCACTGCACTCCAGCTTGGTGACAGAGTGAGAGCCTGTCTCTAAATAAATAAATAAAATGTGGGCCAGGCACAGTGGCTCACACCTGTAATCCCAGCACTTTGGGAGGCCCAGGTGGGCAGATCACCTGAGGTCAGGAGTTCAAGACCAGCCTGGCCAACATGGTGAAACCCCGTCTCTACTAAAATACACAAATTAGCTAGGCGTGGTGGCGGGTGCCTGTAATCCCAGCTACTCAGGAGGCTGAGGCAGGAAAATTGCTTGAACCTAGGTGGCAGAGGTTTCAGTGAGCCAAGATCGTGCCACTGCACTCCAGCCTGGGCAACAGAGCAAGACTCCTTCTCTTAAATAAATAAATAAATACTAGAATACCAGAAAAATGAAAAGAAAAAAACTGACGTACAAAACAAAAGCCTCAGTTTTTTATTATGGTATTTAACTGAGTTAACTCTGTCAGATTGCTGCAAACATTTCTAAATACTTGCTCTCAGTATCTATAACTTTTGCAGAGACCAGAAGCAAACAATTTGTGGACCAGTGTCAACACATGGACCACACTTTGTATAGCGCTGTAACAGAAAATGATTCTGTTAATGTAATGAACATGGGAAATACCAGCCTTGGCATATCTTTTTGATACATATAAATAATTCTCATAATTCCACCTCTGCCTATGTGATGTTTGGCAAAACATGCCCCTGTGCCTTTGTTTTATAAAATGGTAATAATAGTACCACCTAATAGTATTTTTGTGAGGATGCAATGTTAATAAAAGACAAAACCTTTAAAAGAGTATTTGGCACATAGCATTTGATCAATAAATATTGCTTTAGTTTTTTCATTAGGGATACACTTAGTACATTCATGTGAGAGCAAGGCTCTGTGGGCATAAGGAATTTGTAAAAACCGTCTATTACCTTTCACTCCTTATTTAGATTGGGATAATTAATGGGATAATATCCAGTAAAATAGATTAAACTTCCATTTATAAAGTCAGAACCTATCTCTGAAAATTAATGTGAGAAAGAGATCTCTAGATTTGATGGGTGTGAAGATTATGAGAGTAAAGATTTTGAAGACTCAGGGATAGCTATAATGCTTTTTCCTTTTTATAACCCAACAAGCAGGTATGTCAGTCTGCTTTTTCTGCCCACAGTTAATGATAAATTAGAAACTAACAGCCACTATCCATTTGGAAAAATTAAAAGAATAATGAACACTGTTATGTTCTAGCTAGATTCAGCAATGGTTAATGTGTTGTCACATTTGGTTTGCTTATACATAATATTTACATATTTTGCTGTAGTATTTGAGTATAAATTGTAGATACTGTAACACATCACATCTAAGAATAAAGGCTGCCTCCTACTTAATTGCTATATAACAATTGTGCAACCTGTCTGTGCCCCAGGGCAGCTTTGAGTGCAGTCCAACACAAATTTGTAAGCTTTCTTAAAACATTAGGAGATTTTTTTGTGATTTTTTTAAAGCTCATCAGCCATCGTTAGTATATTTTATATGTGGCCCAAGACAATTCTGCCAGAGTAGCCCAGGGAAGCCAAAAGTTTTGACCCACACCCCCCAGTAACTTCACACCTAAGGAGATTCGCAATAATTCCATAATCTGTAATAGTCTGTGTTCATATTCTCAGTTGTGTTCATTCTTTTCACTTGTGTAAAGAATGTCTTTCATAGGTTATTTTTAAATTCAGGAACCAAGTTCATGAATTACATCTGTGCATTGTTTGTATCTTTTAAAATAAGAATGGCCCTTCCCCCACAACTCTATTGCAACATTGACTTTTTAAGCACTCAGGATAGTTGTCTTATAGAATATCACATTCTGGAGTCTTCTCGTTTTCTCAAAGTATTTTTTAATGTGCTTCTTTATCCCCAGTATTTCCCATTAACTGGAATTTGGGATTAGAGACCCAATTAGGTACAGATTAAATATTTTGGCAAGAATACTTCATAGGAGAAATTTTGTATTTTAATTTGTAACCCATTAGGTGGCATACAATGTCATTATACCACTATGGTATCCTTAGTTCATTCACTTGGTGTAGCAGAACGTACATTCCAAAGATGGCCACACCAATATATCCCATTCTGCATATTCACCTTATAATGTGATACTGACACTCCCCAAGAGGTAGAGCTCATGGTCCTTCCTTTTGAATCTGGCCAGGTGAGCCTGTGTTTATGGCAGGAGTAACACTGTGATTTCCACGACTAAGTCACAAAAGGCAATACAACTTCTGCCTGACCCACTTGGGATGAAGCACAGCCACCATGCTACGAAGATGCCAAGTAACCACACAGAAAAGCTGAGTAAAGCTGTCCTGATTACAGCTGTAGTTGAGGTAACAGCTGGCATCCAGCACCAAGCGTATGAGGGTATGAGCCTTCAGATGATTCTAACCCTTAACCTTCAGAAGTTGTCCTAGCTGGTGCTAAGTGGAGCTGAGAAAAGCTTTCCCCCATGAGCCTGCCCAAATTGCAGATTTATGTGTAAAATATTGTCTGTTTTAAGCCACTAAATTTTGGAGTAGTTTGTTACACAGCAATAGGTAACTGAAATATTTGTTTCATATGGTAATCGCCAGGTTTCTCTGTTGTAAAGCTAAGTAGTTCTTTTAATTTAGTAAATGATCTGTAGAGTAGTACTTTGGCATTTCGGAAATTTAAAATCTCCAATCATATAATGACACTAGATTAAAAAGAAAATGAAACCATAAAGGACAATTTAGAAATGAATGATGAGATCAGAATTTGTGAATGTGGTCAAACCTGTGCTCAGTGAAAAATCAATAACCTGTTAATGTATTCAGGAAACAAATATTGAGGGTCAGTGCTTAGTTTCTCCTGCTCACCACTCTACTCCCAGTGACTTAATACTGTCTCTTTAACATAGTAATCGCTTATAAAACTGTTAAAATAATGAAGAAGCATTAAACTCAAGAAACTAAAGGAAAAATAAGTCAATATAAGAAAGAAGAAAGGATCATTAAAAGGAGTTAATGAATTTGAAAATAAAATATACTTATTAAGGCTTTGTGAAAAAATATTAATTCTTGATTTTAGTACATCTGATCAAAGATAAAAGATAATTACGGCATTGTGAATGAGAATTGGATGTAAGTACAGATGGAGGAGATATTTTTTGTTTTACCAAAAATTTCAAGGAGGTAATATCAAAATTTCACTGGCGCTCTGTACACTGATACTATAATCCTCATAATACAACAGACGAGGATAGTTCTTAAAAGACAAAAATGTAGGTGAGTCTTTATGAAGAAAGCAGAAATTCTAAACCATCAGCACATTCATTCAAAAACCTAGTAAAGCAATTAAGCAAAACAATTTCTTTACTTGGACTGTCCAGGGATAGATCTGTTCTAGTTTTCCAAATTAATGATGAGAAAGGAAGAGCTGATCCAGTCCAAATATCTTCAAGATCCATGTTCTCAGTTTTTCTTAGCTTTAAATGGCCAAAGTATGGCCTAGATTGGATATGATAATTTCCTCGATGCTTAACACTGAGCACGATTTTTCACATATTTGAAATCAAGGTGTATCTTACAATTTATGGCGTCTGACAATACTTCCAACCAGGTGGCAGTCATCAAGCAGTTTTGTGAGAAGCCTTCCTGGTAAGAACACAAAACCATCTGCACCAAAATATATAGATTTAATGGCATGTAGGGGTTCGCATGAATATATACAGTTGAAATTCAATTCTTCCTTAAAAAAAATTGTAACTCATTTCTTTAAGACTACCATACTACCACTTTCCTCAACTTAAACTAATGTCCATTGTCAACCAAAATGTCTGTGATCTCATGGATCCATTATGGTTTGCAACTCCAGGTCCATTTTATGCCAATAAGACAGCCATAATATATCATTGTACAAGTCATTTACTATCTAGTTATATCATTGCTCAACATTTGCAAATTCTTTTTACAAATAACGCTAATTGGATGTAACAAAAAGCAGAGTATTTTGAGACATATATTAATGCAAAATTTTGTTAATGTATTAGTGGATTGTTCCTTCAAAGTACCAGTGCCTTAACACAACATATCTAAAAGAACGTTTCTGGGATTAGTAGTACTTAATGGCATTTGAGAAATGGCTTGTGGGCACACAGCCTTGTGAAGTTTTGAATACTAAATCCCTTTTTTAAAAAAATGCTTATTATCAGACTATCAAAAGATTTGAGTCTTACAATAAAGAAAATTTGCTTAACTTTAGTGCATGATAAACTTTACTAAGGAAGTCTCATTCAGAATATCTAGTATTTTGGGATGTGAACCCACACTGGAAATGCCATAACCAAAACACAGTGACCCTAAAGATAGAATATTCAGATCTTATGGCAGATGTTTAGCTATGCTGGGAAAGGAAATGAATGGTGTATTTCTCTGCTGCTCACATATTCCTCTGCAATAAATTGCTGGCCCAGTTTTGTTTTTATATATTCACTACTATACTAATGAGGATGGCTCAATTTTTTATTTGAACATACGATAATGAATTTAAACTTTTATTGGTGAGTATTTATGTTTTAACAGGTTTTCACTCTTTCAAATATACTTCAATAAATATCCTTGTCTGTGATCATTGGTTTATGTGAACTGGAATTTCAGTAGCTGTATATACATGGAAGAACAATTGCTCATACATGATACACTCTTTCAGTTATGTTAGATAATACTAAATCAATCATAGGTTCTATATACCCTACTAGATATTTCCAAATTGTTCTTTTAGATCCTGCGGACTGGTAAACTCAGTGTCCCTGTAGCTTCAGTTTAGGTATGTTTTTGTATGTATTCCTAAATTTTGACTTAAGCCACTTTCGAAATGTATTTCTTGGCCTATCATCATTCCTTTACTTTGACTTTCATATTCTTGGCTTTCTCCATTATTTTTGTCTTGTTTTTTTCCTTCCCTCTAATTGACTTGAATGTCATTCTGGATACTTTGCTATATTGATGCAGTATTTTCTACCTACATGCATATAGTCTGACCATGCATTCTATTTTTATGAGACATTTTAAGATTCATAGGTTATCAGTTATGTAATCTTTGCAGATTACATAACTAAAATTTTATTTTCCAGTATTTATATTTGATTTTCTTATTGCAATAGCTAGACTCTTCAGAACACAGTTGAATATTATGGTAACAGGTATCTGTTTTTCCAAATTTAATGGACTATATCCCAACATTTTTTTCTTTGGTCTTATGTTTCCTCAGAACCTACATTTAATTATTTACTATAATATTCACTCTTCATTTGGGGATAAATTCTCTGCTGACTTTAAATTTCCTTCAGTATATGTGGGGGTAGAGGGAGGATGCCTACTTTTGTAGTGATTGTTAATTTAAAAACTGCTAAATTTTGTCTAAGGATATTTTGTTATCTATTTTATGTTTTTCCCCTTAAATTTATTGATGTATTGATTTGTACTTATGACTTTCTTAAATTTTAAACATTTCTTGTAATATGCTATAATTTTTGTCATACTACTAGAGTTCATTTGGTGATATTTTAATTAGAACTTTTCCATCTATAGTCAAATTAGGCAGTATTATAGTTTTTTTCTTTTATTGATAAGACTTTAGAGTTGTAATGATCTGTTCTTTAACACCTAGAAACAATTTGTCCTTAAAGTATTTACATTTTTGTATCTTGATATTGTATTTTATGAGACTTGCTAAATTCACTTAGCTTTAGCAGGGTTTATTTTTTTATAAATTACTTAGAATTTTCTATAAACACAATCAGGACATCTGTGAAGACAGTTCCTTCTAATTTATATTTCATTTATTTGCCATACTTCACAGGCTAGGGCATTCTGTAGAGTGTTGAATGGAAATGCTCAAAGCAAGGCTGGGCGTGGTGGCTCATGCCTGTAATCCCAACAACATTTTGGGAGGCTGAGGCAGTTGGATCACCTGAGGTTAGGAGTTCGAGACATGCCTGGCTGTTGTCATGAGAATGTCAGCTGCTTGCTCTGTGGAGAGGAAAGGAAGAATACAGGCAACCATTGTCTTCCCTTTTCGGATACACATGATCTGTACAAAGTGGTCATCACTAGGCCGCTCTTGTCCAGGCTATTTCCCCCTTAAGTTGTCATACATGCTACAAATTTTGTACTTTCGCTCATCCATTAGAGCAGGTCATTCTTCTAGACTTAGGAGATAATGTCTTTCATAGTCCTCCACATCAAGGAGCAAACTGTAAGTTTTCTCAATTATGGTGGGTTTTTCTCCTCTTGTTTCATACTTGTTTTTCTTTTATCTCATCATCCTCATTCCAAGATGTTACAACAGCATCAATCATTTTTCAGAGATTATTCACACTAGAAACAGTAAGCTTTCCCAAAGAGCCCTCAAATTGTACTGGCTTATAGGCATGCTCCAGTTTGGCCACCTGAGGGGTGATAACCTTGGTGCACTCCTTTTTAGGGCCATCACCTTGTATTTCTTCAGCAGCTGATGGTTTCTCCAGCTTTTCAAAGTAATTCTGGTAATAAAAATCATCCAGGTAGGGATCAGTGCTTTGCAGTTGCATCATCTGAATTTTAGAGGCCCAATCCTTTTCCTGCTGCAACATGATATTGGCATATGGATCCTTTCAGAGATGATCGTGATGACTGCTCCAGTGACTTCCTCTATCCCCTGCACCATTGAGATTCTGATGCTGATTTCTATACTGTTGCTGTCTCTGATGCAAGAGTCAGTGGTGCTGTGGATGGAGGTGAGTTGTGTCCAGTCTAAACATTGGTGCCTGAGATCTTAGGTTTTGCAAGTGAGGTCCTGGGCTGTGGAGGTGGTGTAGCAGAGGGTGGAGCACTAAAGGCATGGAAGCCTGGTGCTGGGGGAAGCATCTGCCCAACTTGCCCTTGTAGCAACTTGGGATTCATAGCAGCAAGTGGACTACAAATCCAGGGACCCATACAAACTGGCTGGGAGACATCTGTCCAGGCTGTTGTTGTGCTCCTTCAAGAAGCTGTGCTCTCTGAAGGGGGCTGAGAACAGGAGGAACACTAGGAGGAAAAGGGTGACCCAGGAGGGAAGAGTTTAGGACACTGTAGAACTGATTTGGAGACATCCTCTCATCATAGGGACCAGGATAACACGGTGGCATTGGGGGCCGAACATGGACAGGCTTCAAATGCAGAATCTTCCAAATTGGCCTTCCTTTTCAGTTGCTGGTTTCAGGTGGAGGAAAGTCTATGGACTAGGACTGCATAGGCTCTGTTGGGTAAAGCCATCTGCTTAGGTGGGGTACTTATGGGAACAGTTCTAACAGGAGGACTGCCAATGATAGGTGAAGTTGACCATCTTGGTAATGCATGTTCAGAAAGGTCCTGATCATTTTCTGGACCCTGGGGGGCCTCTGAGGCAAGGCATATTCTAATACAGACACTGTAGACATTTCCTGAGTGAGCAGTGGTCCTCGGATTTGCCTCAGAACTTCAGATCCATCCCAGATACTGGAATTCAGACTTCCTGGTTGGGGCTGTAAAACTGGCCTGGTCTGTGCTGCCCTCATAGCTGGATCTTTTAGTTCATTTTCAATCACCATCTTACTGAGCCTTTCTGCCAGATTCTCCTCATGGTCACCCAACAAGTCTATTTCTTCCCTTTCTCCGTTGCCTGTTGGTTCATTGACTGCCACTGGTAGCTTTTCTTCCAGTTCAGCCAGGCGCTTGTGCTTCCTGCCAATCATCATCAGCTGCACCTGACCCAAATGTATCATCATTGAATTGATCAGTCTCTTCATCTTCTTCTCTCAGTCCCTGAAAGTAATCTTCATCATCATCCAGAAGACAATCCTCCCAAGACTCATAGTGGAACATTCTTGGGGAGGTGGGGAGGGAGCAGGGAGGGGAGTGGGGGAGGGAGGGAAGAAGTACGGACTCCCCAGCCTCCTCCATGGCCAGGTCCTCCACCAGCTCACAACTCCTGGCCACCTATTTCTGTTTCTCATATTTGTTCCTATGAATTCTAGTTATTATCATGTATCATTTCCTTACTCCAATACAACTCTACTGTCATTTACTTCCTTTATGCTGCTATTGTCAAATATATTACATTTCCATGTTATAGGCCCAACAGTATAATTATGTACATATTGTATTATACAACTGCCTTTTAAATTTATTAAGAGAAGTAAAAGAAATGTGCATTTTTGCTGCTTTTTGTATATTATAAATATTTTCTTTTTAAAAATGTGGTTTTGAATTTCCATGTGGATTTACTTGCTTTGTTTGAATAACCTTTACAATTTCTTATATGGTAGGTCTGGGAAGGGCTTTATTTCATCTTCATTTTTGAAAGACAGTATGTTACTGCTTGACAGAGCTTTTGTCCTTTGAGTACTTTGAATATATCGTCCCACTGCCTTCGTCCCCTCCATTGCTTTGGATAAGAAGTCGGCTGTCAATTGATTGGTGTTCCATTGTTAAGTGACAATATCATTTTTCTCTTATACTTTTCAACATTTTCTTTCACTTTTAGCACTTCTACTACGATGGGTCTGTTCATGGATATCTTTGCATTCATTCTGATTACAGTTTGTTGAGATGCTTGTGGGTATTGATTAATGTTTATTCAACAAATTATGGATGTATTTAGCCATTATTATTATTATTATTATTTTTGAGATGGAGTCTCGCTCTGTCACCCAGGCTGGAGTGCAGTGACCGGATCTCAGCTCACTGCAAGCTCCGCCTCCTGGGTTTACGCCATTCTCCCGCCTCAGCCTCCCGAGTAGCTGGGACTACAGGCACCCGCCACTACACTCAGCTAGTTTTTTGTATTTTTTTAGTTGAGACGGGGTTTCACTGTGTTAGCCAGGATGGTCTCGATCTCCTGACCTTGTGATCCACCCGTCTCAGCCTCCCAAAGTGCTGGGATTACAGGCTTGAACCACCACGCCCAACAATTTAGCCATTATTTCTTGGAATATTTTTGTGCTCATTTCTCTTTCTCCTTTCCTTCTGGTATTCTCATTACATGTATGTTGGTGCACTTAAAAGTGTCTTGTATTTCTTAAAGGCTCTGTTCATATTTTCTTTGTTCTATTTTCTCATTCTATTTTCTTATTCTTTTTTCTAGTGGGAAGATGGAATTGAGGTTGCATAATTTCCATTGATCTATTTGAAAGTTTTCTAATTACTCTGCCAGATCAAATTTATTTAGCCCTTCTAATGAATTTTTTATTTTGGTTACTGTGGTCTTCAACTCCAGAACTTACATTTGGTTCATTTTGTCATTTATCCTATTTGATTTTCTTTATTTGATGAGACATTATCTTTACGTTTTCCTTTACTTCTGTGAATATATAATGGCTAAATTGAAATTTTTGTCTATTAATTATGACACCTGTTCCCTGTCATAGGCCAACCTGTTGCCTGTTTTTTGTTTTTGTTTTTGTTTTGTTTTGTTTTAGACAGAGTCTTGCTCTGTTGCCCAGGCTGGAGTGTAGTGGCATGATCTTGGCTCACTGCAACCTCTCCCTCCTGAATTCAAGCAATTCTTGTGTCTTAGCCTAGTTATAGGCATGTTCTACCACACCTGCCTAATTTTTGTATTTTTAGTAGAAATGGGGTTTCGTCATGTAGTCCAGGCTGGTCTCAAAACTCCTGAGCTCAAGTGATCTGCCAACCTTGGCCTCCCAAAGTGCTGTGATTACAGGTGTAAGCCACTGCACCTGGCCTGCTTGCTGTTCTCCTGTGTATAAGTCCAAGTTTCCCATTTGTTTGCATGCCTTCGTTTTTGTTTATTTTCCTAATAAGTAGACATATTAGGAAACATACTGTAGTGATTTGCCTGTCCCTCTCCAGAGCTTGTTCTTGTTGTTTGCTTAGTTATGTATTTTGTGTTTTGGCTATTTTAGTAAAGTCTGTTTCCCTTTCCCCTTGCAGTGTGAACTATTTTGTGTTGTTCCTCAGCCTTAAATATATGCAGTTATGCTGGTGAGACAATGGTTTTAAAAAGGAGTCTCTTTGACTATCTTTCTCTCTCTCTCTGTTAAGATGACTGCCTCTTTGGTATTATTTCCAGCCCACTAGGCTCCACTGCCTTCTATCTGGTCACTCTATTGTTTTCAACATTTCCTTGGAGCATAAATTATTAAGCAGTTTAATATAATTTAAGGCAGGGTTAGTTTTTGAGGTCAGTTTTTGAGGTTTCTTTTGACCTTTTGGAGGGCTCCTTAGCTGTCTCTGCCCATGGAATTATCTGATTAAATCCCTGGCCTATGGTTTATGTTGTTGTGTTTACTTTTTAGGGGAGCTATTTGACACTGTTTCAGATAAATTCCATTCCTTTGGAGAGAGCTTCAGAGCTCTATTCTTATGGACCACCACTCCCTCTGGACAAAATCTCTGAACCACCATTCAGGGTAATGGGCTGGATGGTAGCCATCTTGTTTTTTGTGTTATGAAACCTCTGCCTTACAAGCAAGTGGAGGCAAGGGCAATCTGGGTCCAAATCTGAGTTCACTGTGCCTGGGTAGACTTTCCAAACTGTGGGTGGGGCTGAGGGAAGCCAAGGAGCCCCAAACCTCTTAGTTGCGTTCACCAGGAATGTAGCCACTTTAACCAAGAGGGGGTGATAAGAAACCCGGGAGGCATGCCCCTCCTGTTGATATATGACAAACCTCGATTGACAGCTGAAGCCCCATCCTCTTGGCAGCATCCACCCACAGTGAAGCTTCTATCAAATTGAGCTGTAAAGAGTAAAAGGGAGTCGGTTGTATCTTACCACAAATTATCTTACCAAGTTCTTGGTTCTTACCAAATGTTAGTAGAATTTCTTGATATTTCATTTCCTATATACTCTTTGGACACTTTCAGACCTCAAATGGCAAGGTTTTTATACATTTTTTTTTTTCCAGTTTTACTAGAAAATGAGTTTGCAGAGCCCCACATCTACCATCCAGAAGTGGAACTACATATAGTCATTTAACAATAGTTTAGCATTTTCTGTCATCTCATTCTGGAGAATCATAGATGTGGCAGAAATACATATTCTTGAAGAAAAAAATTTGTCTCCCTCACAGGTACTGTGATTCAATAGGGTGTGGGATAAGTACATGACAACATGCATGGGATAGATACTCTGTTCTCTACAGTTCTGTGCTTTTGAGTTAGAGAACATAAAAGATATATTGATGGTTATTACTTTTAACATGTCACAATCTAGTTGTAGCATTTAAGATTAAATTTGGTTGTGAGTAAAATAGTAAAATTGCCCCAAATTAAAGTGAATAAAAGTAATAAAAGTTCATTTCTCTGTCATATATTATGGATGTAAGCCTGATATTGTGGCCTTGCTCCAAACCAATCATGAATTTTACCATTCTGGCATCAGAATGGAATGAACACTCAGACTTATACAGAACTTGGAAGAATAGTAAATAATTCTGGATACCCTTCACCCAGATTTCTCAAATATTAATATATTAAGCCAGTGTGTTTTAAGAGGTTTCCAGAATTGCCAAAATATTCACTTATATCCTACTTGCCATAAGTTGTGTCACATGACAACACCTTGGAGAAATAACTGCAGTCCTTATTCTAGATAGTCATAGCCAACGGTTAATAAAAATTACTGGTTCTATAATCATGAAAGCAGGGTAGAATGGATATGGGGGCCTAATAAACAACAGATCCTGACCCACTGAGGAATCCATGGAGATGGTTTCACTTTGATCAATTACAAATGAAGACAGTGAATCCCTAGAGACCACAACTTGTGCAGAAGACACATGGAAATGGAATGGGATTCTGGAAGTTAAGACACATAGGTCCATTATCCTTCATACCCCAAGCTGGATGATCACAATACCCTATAAAAGGATGACAGAAATCTTGTGTCTACTACTTCTTCTTTTCTGGGGAGTCTATGAACATTCAAGATAATATCCATCACTGACTATTCTAAAACAAGTTTCTTCACAATGCTGCTCAGAAACACCATGACAAATTTGAATTGGAGCAATATCTCCAAAAATGGGATGCAGATTAATGTATCATTTCAGCCAGGCCTTAATAGGAGATAAACTTCTCAGCTATCACCATACCTAAAACATTATAATTCAATAAAATGCCAAATGCAAAAAGAGCAGATCACAGAAATGTAAGTTGAGAAAAATCAGAGTGAACTTCTGACCTTATGATGACATTTTCAACTCTGAAACTATTAAAATAATTCTAACAAAAGCAGCATCTTTTTTTCCATACCTGAACTGCCACATGTATGCACAGCAGCCAGATTTTTTGGTCTTTAATGCTTTTTTCCTCTAAAAGGAACCAGGACTCCCTAAGAGGGTATTAAATCATGAGTTGATTCCATGACTCAGGACAAGAGGCATGGGGGACATGAACCAACAAACAGGATCAGTCTAAAACATCTTCTTATGGCCCAAAAACAATATTCCTTTAAAACGTCAAAAGAAAAAAATAAGAAGTAAAAATAAAAAATGTAAATGGATTCCTACTGGCCACATTATGTCAATTTGAGCATAAATAATCATAATTACTACAAGTGCTCCTCAACCTATGGTGGGGTTATATCCAAATAAACCCATCATAAATTGAAAACATCATACACCATATGTGTATTTATGACCTACAATATTTTCAATTTAACAATGGGTTTATCTAGATATAGCCCCATTTTAAGTCAAGGAGCATACTCTATGTCTTAGTCCATTTTGTGTTGCTATAAAGGAATATCTGAGGTTGGGTAATTAATAAAGAGAGAGGTTTATTTGGCTCACTGTTCTGTAGGATTTACAGGAATCATGGTGTAACATCTGCTTCTGGTAAGGGCCTCAGGCTGCTTCTACTCGTGGCAGATGAAAAGGGGCAGTGTATGCAGACATCACATGGCAAGAGAAGAAGCAAGAGAGTGAGGAAGGAGGTGCCAGGCTCTTTTGAACAACCAGCTCTCACAGGAACTAACAGAGTGATAACTCACCCCTAATCCAGAGAGGATATTAATTTATTCATGAGGGATCTTCTCCCATGACCCAAACATCTCCCATTAGGCCCCACCTCCAACATTGGGATCAAACTTCAATATGAGATTTGGAGGGGACAAATATCTAAACTATAGCAGCATATCACTTTTGTACTATTATAAAGCTGAAAATTAGAAGTCAAACCATTTTAAGTTGGGGATTACAGGCGTGAGCCACCGTGCCCGGCCATGATTTTTAAATTTGTACATACTTGGCATGTAACTTTAACAAATATATTAAAGTGTTTTATTATGTTTGCAAAGGGACTCTGGCTTCCAACATAGTACTGCCAAGATTGCATGATGATAGAGTTTCATTGAAAGGCTGCCAGAGATTTCTTTTATGACAATTCTTAATGATACTTAATGATACTGGGATGTCCAATGACCCATAAAGGAGTTGTGCTGGGTTAATACCTAGGGAATCTTTTGATTTCAAAGAAAAAAGTTCAAGAGAATGAATAGAAAAAAGAAACTGGAAATAAAAAATAGGAACATAAGATTTGAAAGCCAAGTTTTATATAATCTTGTTTTATAAGTGGTATATCATTGCAATATCAATACCTGAAAAACACTTGGAAAATTACAACTTATGATTATAGATGCAATTAAGTGGTTAAAGATAGAGTTAAGTAGTCTATCAAAAGAATAATCATCTGACCAGGGTATATTCATAGAAAGAAGAAAGCTATCAATATAAATTATCACTTTATAGATTTTTTAACACAATGGAATAAAATCACAAAGGATTATTCTTTATCTTAAAAAAAATTAATGTAATTCATGATGCCACAATGGTATCATGTTTTGTTTTGGGTTTTTTTTGAGACGAAGTCTCACTCTGTCGCCCAGGCTGGAGTGCAGTGGCGCAATCTCAGCTGACTGCAACCTTCACCTTCTGAGTTTGGGTGATTCTCCTGCCTCAGCCTCCCAAGTAGCTGGGATTACATGCATGTGCCACTACGTCCAGGTAATTTTTTTATTTTTAGGAGAGAAGGAGTTTTGCCATATCAGCCAGGTTGGTCTCAAACTCCTGACCTCAGGTGATCTGCCCACCTTGGCCTCCCAAAGTGCTGGGATTACAGGTGTGAGCCACTGCTCCCAGCCCAATGGTATCATGTTTTACAGCTTGATTTAAAGGTTTTTTTTTTTTCAAAGTTTATCAATAGCTCATGTACCAGCCATGGGATAGGTGCTGGTGATAAATATTGAACAAAAAAAAAAAGATTCCAGACAATCGTGGCTCCCTGCATAATCCGAAGGGTGCCAGTTTTGTACTGAGTACAGTGTCAGCCATATCACACAAGTTGAATTATGCTGACACTTTAATGGCATTCATTTCTCAATAGTCTATTTCAAATTTCATTTTGTATTCAATCCAGGGCTTAAATACACATGACTATAAATTTTCAGAGATGACAATATCTCTCCATAGATTACTTACCCACTACAAACTAAATCTTTACAATGGACTTATGGCAGTTACCAGCTTACCCAAATGATCATCCTTAGTTTCACTAATGCAAGGACCTGCAGGTAAATGTTTTCTGACAGTACAATATGACATACAAATAACCTACAAAGTATTCTTCCCCAAAATGTTTAATCTAGACCTAAGAAAGCCTCTGGACTTACATTCCATTGTACAGAAAATACAACCAAGAACAAGGCTAAATGACACTATAAAGAAAGAAATCAAAACATGTAGCCGACAATATTTCTGACCTACTCAAAATTCAATGTATTTTGTTTTAAATGAGGAGAAATGTTCTAGACCAGTGGCTCTCTAACTCTGGTTGGTATCACAGTCACAAAACCTGGAGAAATAATAAAAAACAGAGGCCCAGGCTTATAAGCTAGGGCTACACTTCTCTAGGTTTACTAAGTTCCACAGGTGATTCTGATACCCACCATAATTTGCGAGCATACCTTCATGGGGTTTCCATGCTACAATACACTAAAGAGAGATAACCAAATGCAATGCAGAATCTGCAATGGATTCTCCTTAGAAAATGAATAGCTGTAAAAGATGGTTTGCCGATCAATGAAGAAATCTGAAGATGGAATGATATTATAGAATTATGAATATTTTCCTTAAGGGTAATTATGGTACTATGGTTATACAATATTGTCTTTATGTTTGGGTAACACACATGCTGACGTAACAAGGGGTAAAGTGTCATGATGTCTAAAACTTATTCTCAATGGTCTAAAACTTATTCTCAATGGTACAACAAATCTACAAAAAATAAATGTGGCAAATTGTTAACAATTTTGAATCTAGGTGAGGGGATATGGGTGTATATTTTACTGTTCTTTCCAAACCTGCAACAATTATCAACTAGGTTCACCATATTTTATGGGCAGGATTTGTGGTATCCCCAATTACACTAGTAACATCAAAAAACACTGGTCACAGATCACCATAACACATATAACAATAAAAAAGTTTGAAATATTATGAAAACTACCAAAGTGTGACACAAAGACATGAAGTGTGCACATGCTGGGTGCTGATAGACTTATTCACTGCAAGGTTGCTGCAGACCTTCAATGTATATAAAATCCAGTAACTGCAATGCACAATTAAGCAAGTATGCCTGTACCCAGTAAAATATTTCATGGGCAGTAAACTGTGAACATGGCAGCTACTCTACATTCCTCACATCAATAACTTTCTCACCAAAATTACCTTCTTTAAACTCTTAAGTCATTTAGTGTGGCTATAAAACATCCCACATTCCTTACACTCAAAGGAGTTCTCAGCAGTATGAATACTCTGATGTTGAGCAAATCCCAGGCCACAATGAAAGTTCATCACACATTCTGTTATGTTCACAGGATTTCTCATCAATATGAATTCTCTGGTGTTGAGCAAATTTTTCATACACAGTGAAGGCTTGTCTACACTCCTTATATTCATATAACTTCTAACTATTATGAATTTTCTGATGTTGAGTAAGCGGATCATTCACAGTAAGGGTTTGCTCACATTCTTTACATTCATAGGGTTTCATGCCAGTATGAATTCTGTGATGTGCAGAAAGGACTGAACTAAGTCTAAAGGTCTTCCCACATCCTTTACATTCACAGGGTCACTCACCAGTATGAATTTTAACATGTTGAACAAGGCTTGAGCTACAAGTAGAAGTCTTTCCACATTCTTTACATTCATACGGTTCATACTAGTATGAATTCTTTGATGTGCAGTAAAGACTAAGCTAAATCCAAAAGTTTTCCACATTCTTTACACTCACAGGGTTTCTCAGCAGTATGGATTCTCAGATGTACAGTAAGTTCATAATTACTGCTAAAGGCCTTTTCACATTCATTACATTCATAGAGTTTCTCATCAGTATGAATTTTAATATGTTTCATAGGTTTGAACTATGACCAAAGGCTTTCCCACATTCTTCACATTGATATGGTTTCTTACCAGTATGAATTCTCTGATGTACTCTAAGGTTTCTACCACTGGTAATGCATTTCCCACATCCTTGACATTCATAAGGGTTCTCACGAATATGAAATCTATGATGTCCACGAAATTGGTAATTATATTGAAAGGCCTTCCCACATTCGTTACATTCAAAGGTTTTCACCCAAGTATGAATTTTCTGATGTTCAATAAGTTGCTACTGATGTCTGAAGGCTGTCCCACATTTCTTACATTCAAAGGGTTTCTCACCTGTACAAGTTTTTGATGCAGAGAAAGTTGTAGGTGAAGTCTAAAAGCCTTCCCACACTCCTTACATTCATACGGTTTCTCACCATTATAAACACTCCGAGGTTGAACAAGGTTTGAGCCATGATTAAAGGCCTTCCCACACTCCTTACATTTAAATGGCTTCTCACCAGTATGAATGATCTGATGTCCAGCAAGCTGTGTCAGAAGACTAAAGGCCTTTCCACATTCTTTACATTCAAAGGGTTTCTCACCAGTATGAATTTGGTAATGTTCAATAAGCTGGTAATGATATCTAAAGGTCTTCCTACACTCCTTACATACAAAGGGTTTCTCACTGGAATGAATTTTCTGATGCTGAATGAGGTTTGAACCACGATTAAAGACTTTCCCACACTCCTTACATTCATATGGTTTTATACCAGCATGAATACTCTGATGTTGAACAAGGTTCGAGACACGATTAAAGGACTTCCCACATTCTTTACATTCAAATGGCTTCTCACCTGTGTGAATGTTCTTATGGCGATTAAGCTGGGTGTGAAGACTGAAGGCCTTGCCACATTCCTTACATTCAAAGGGCTTCTCACCAGTATGAAATTTCTGATGTCGAATAAGGTGCATATGAAGTCGAAAGGCTTTCCCACATTCCTTACATTCAAAGGGTTTCTTTCCAGTATGAATACTTCGATGTTGATTAAGATTTGAACCACGACGGAAGAATTTCCCACATTCCTTACATTCAAAGGGTTTCTCACCTGTATGAGTTTTCTGGGTTTCTCATGCCGAGAAAGTTATGCAGAGTGAAACCTAAAGTCTTACCTCCTTACATTTCATGGGAGCTATCACCAGTATAGATATCTGATCATTGAACAAGATTAGGAGCCACGATTGAGGCCTTCCCCAGTCTTTACATTCAAAGGCTCCCCTGGTATGAATTTGGCCATATTGAATAAGTTGGTAATGATATCTAAAGGCCATCTCACATTCCCTACATACAAAGGGTTTCCTGTTGGAATGAATTTTTTAGATGCTGAATCAAGTTTGCACCACCCGATTAAAGCCCTTTCCCACCACTCCTTACATTGTGGTTTTACTGTGAATATATGATGTTGAATAAAGGTTTGAACTCTGATTAAAGGACTTCCCATTCTTTTGTTCGATGGTTTTTCACTGCACTGAATGTTCTTGTAAATTAAGCTGATTAAAGACTAAAAGCCTTCGCATTCCCTACATTCAAGGCTTCTCACCAGTATGAATCTTCTGATGTCATTCTTGGCTTACATCTGAAAGTAAAGGCCTTTCTTAATTCTTTACATTCAAGGGTTTCGCCAGTATGAATTAAGTAATGTTCAATAAGTTGGTAATGATGTCAAGAAAGGTCATCCCACATTCCCTACATACATCCCACATTCCCTACATACAAAGGGTTTCTCATTGGAATGAATTTTTTGATGCTGAATAAGATTTGAACCACGATTAAAGGCTTTCCCACACTCCTTACATTGATGTGGTTTTACACCAGCATGAATACTTTGATGCTGAGTAAGGTTTGAGCTACGATTAAAGGACCTCCCACATTCCTTACGTTCAAACAGTTTCTCACCTGTGTGAATGTTCTTATGGCGATTAAGCTGGGTGGAAAGGCTAAAGGCTTTTCCACATTCCTTACATTCAAAAGGTTTCTCACCAGTATGAAATTTCTGATGTCGAGTAAGTTGTATGTGAAGTTGAAAGGCTTTCCCACATTCTTTGCATTTATAGGTTTTCTCTCCAGTATGAATACTCTGATGCTGAATAAGATTTGAACCACGACTAAAGTGTTTCCCACATTCCTTACATTCATAGGGTTTATGTGTATTATAAATAAGAGAAGCATAAGTAGGTATTTCTTCATAGCTGATGATCTTCTGATTGATATATCCTTCTTGATGTCCCTGTAGTCCCTCAAATCTACTTCTATATTCTGAGTCATTTCTAAAATAAAAGGCCTCAAGGCCAAGTGTTTTACTTATTTGCTTTATAACATGTTTGGGTAAATTTATTTCAAAAATATCATTTTCTGGAGATATTTTTTCAGGTCCATGTTTTGACTCCAAATCTAAAAGAAATGAAGAAGGCAAACATATTTTATTTTCCTATAACACACATGCATATAAAATCCATTAAACAAATGGCCAAAGTATAAAATATAATACTTTCAAGGAAGGGATCTGAAAAAGAAAAAGGGTGCCAATAATGAAGAAAGTTTATGTAAGATGGTGGTATACATAAGGGAACAGGTTAACTTTGTCAAATTTAAGTGTGAATCAAAACCTTTTGGTGAACTTAATAAAGATATTGATATTCAAGCAACTCAGATGTACAGAATCAGAATTTTTAGTGAAAAAAGCTGTTTTTTGTTTGTTTGTTTTTTGGGATGGAGTTTCACTCTTATCTCCCAGGCTGCAGTGCAATGGCACAATCTTGGCTCACTGCAACCTCCACCTCCTGGGTTCAAGTGATTCTCTTGCCTCAGCCTCCAGAGTAGCTGGGATTACAAGTGTGCCACCACGCCTGGCTAATTTTTGTATTTTTAGTAGAGATGGGGTTTCACAATGTTGGCCAGGCTGGTTTGGAACGCCTAACATCAGGTGGGTGGCCTCCCAAAGTGCTGGGATTATAGGTGTGAGCCATTGAGCCCGGCCTGTATTATTATTATTATTATTATTATTTTTAAGAGACAGGGTCTCTGTCTGTTGCACAGGCTATAGTGCAATGGCATGATCATAGCTCACTGCAGCCTCAAACTCCCAGGCTCAAGCAATCCTCCTGCCTAAGCCTCCCAAGTGGCTACAGCTACAGGCATATGCCACCATGTCTGGACAATTTTTTTTTCTTTCTTTAGTCTTCCTGCAGTCCAAAGTCTGGCGAATTTTTATTTTATTTTTATTTTTTATTTTTACTTTGTAGAGATGGTGTCCCATGTTACCCAAGCTGGTCTTGAACTCCTGGCATCAAGCAATCCTCCTGCCTTGATCTCCCAACATGCTGGGACCACCAGTGAGGGCCATCACACCCAGCCAAAGCTGCATTTTTAATATCTCTACCAGATGATTGATTCAGATCAAAGTTTACCAATCATACTTAAAACTGGTTTTGAATGGTTTATCTTTAGTCTTAATGCAAAATCCAAAAACCTTAACACAGAGAACAAAACTTCCTATCAGGGCACTGTCCTCCTTTATGGCTGATCTCTAACCACTCCCTCCTTTTAGCAACCAGAACGTGATATAACCTTTATCTTATCTTCTTGCTTGCTTAGACTGCTTCATCTTCCAAGAATCCTCTGGCCTGGCTCTTTGTAACAAACATCCAACTCATCTTTTAAGCCTTAGGATAAATGTTTTCCTCAGAACATCTGAATGAATGAATAAAGCCTCCGTGACATATGGAACATCAAAAAACAACAAAATATTTGAATTTTTGAGGTCCTAGAGACAAAGAGAAAACATAAAGGATAGAAAATCTATTTAATGAAATAATAGCAGGAAACTTTCCAACTCTAGTAAGAGATGCAGACATCCTGATACAGGAAGCTCAGAGATACCCAAATAGATACAATACAAAAAGATCTTCTCCATGGCCCATTATGGTCAAAATATAAAAGTCAAAGACAAAGGAGAATACTAAAAACAGTAAGAGAAAAGCATCTAGTCACTTACAAGGAAACTCATCGGCCTAACAGCAAATTTCTCAACAGAGAGAAATGAGAGAGAATGAGATTATATATTCAGCGTTGAAAGAAAAAAACTGCCAGTCAATGACACTATCCTCAGCAAAGTATTCTACAAAAATGAAAAAGAAATAGTCTTTCCCAGACAACAAAAGGTGATGGAATTCATCATCACTGGACCAGCCCTACAAGATATGCTCAAGAGTCCTACACCTAGAAGTGAAAGGACAATATCTACCATTGTGAAAACACACAATGTTACCCCTACAGAAAACAACCAAACCACAATGATAAAAAAAATAAAAGAGAAAGGAACAAAGGATATACAAAACAACTAGAAATCAATTAATAAAATTATAAGAATCAGCCCTCACGTATCAGTAATCACATTGAATGTCAATGTATTAAACTTCATTTAAAAGATACAGACAGGCTGAATGGATGAAAAAACATGATCCAACTATAAGCTGCCTACAAGAAACTCATCTCACTGGTAAAGACACATATGGATTGAAAGTAAAAGAACAGGAAAAGAGGATATAACAATTCTAAACATATAATCCCAACACCAGAATACCCAGATATATAAGGCAAATACTATTAGATCAAAAGGGAGAGAGATACTCCAGTACAATAATCATTGGGGATGTCAACACCCCACTCTCAGAATTAGATCATCTAGACAGAAAATTAACAAAGAAACACTGGGTTTAAACTGTACATTAGGCCAAATGGGCCTAACAGACATTTATTGAACATTTCATCAAACAGCTACAGAATACACATTCTTCTCATGAGCACAGAAAACATACTCTAGTGAGACCATATGTTAGAATACAAAACAAGTCTTAACAAATTTTTAAAAACCAAAATTATATCAAGTCTTTTCTCAGATGTGGAATAAAACTAGAAATCAGTTACAAAAGGAATTTTGGAAACTGTATATTATGCAGAAATTAATTAAACAACATGCTCCTATATAACCACTGAGTCAAAGGAGAAATTAAGGAGAAAATAAAAAAATTCTTAAAACAAATGAAAATCAAAATACAACGTACCAAAACTTATATCTATGGGATACAGTAAAAGCACTGCTAAGAGGAAAGTTTATGGCAATAAATGCCTACATCAAAAAGTATAAAGATTTCAAATAAACAACCTAAAGATGCACTTCAAGGAACTACAAGAGCAAGAACAAACCAAACCTAAAATTGGTAGAAGTATCAGAGCAGAACTAAATAAAATACAGGCTAAATAATAGAAAAAAGAAATTAAATGAAAAGTAGTTTTTTAAAAACATAAATAAAATTAATAAACTGCTAGCTAGACTTACCAAGAAGAAAAGACAGAAGAAATAAAATCAGAAGGAAAAAAGGAGATACTACACACCAGAGAAATAAAAGAGATCACCAGGGACTACTAGGAACAACTACACACTAACAAATTTGAAAATCCAGAGGAAGCGCATAAGTCCTGGACACACAGGACCTACCAAGATTAAATCAGGAAGAAACGGAAAACCTGAAAAGACCAATAATGAGTAATGAGATTGAATCAGTAATAAAATGTCCTCCGACAAAGAGAAGTCCAGGACCAGTGACTTCATGCTGAACTCCATCTACTGAACTCTCAAAGAACTAACACCAATTCTCCTCAAACTATTCCAAAAAAATTGAAGAGGAGGGAATTCTTAACTCATTCTCTGAGGCCAGCATTACCATGAAAGCGAAACCACACAAGGAAGAAACAAAAAAGGAAAATCATTCTAATATAAAGATACATGGTTCCTGCTAGTGAAGTAACAAGAAAAAAAAAAAGGCACATGGGGGCATATATTCATCACAGCACTAATCACAATAGCAAAGACACGGAATCAAATGTCCATCAATGGTTAACTGGATAAAGAAAATGTGATACACATACACCAAGAAATACTACGCAGTCATAAAAAAGAACAAGATCATATCCTCTGCAGCAACATGGATGGAGGTAGAGGCCATTATCTTAAGCAAATTAATGAAGAAACAGAAAACCAAATAATGCATGCTCTTACTTCCAAGTGAGAGCTAAACACTGAGTGAGTACACATGAACACAAAGAATGTAACAATGGACACCAGGGCCTACTTGAGGGTGAAGGGTGGGAGGAGGACGAAGATCTCAAAACTACCATGCTTACCTTATTACCTGGGTGATGAAATAATATGTACACCAAACATCCACAACATACAATTTATCTATGTAATAAATCCATATAGGTAGCCCCTGAACCTAAAATAAAGTTAGAAAATAATAATAAATAAATGGTACTGGGAAAATTGGATATCTATATGCAAAAGAATGAAAGAGACCCAATCTCTCACCACATACAAAAACCAGTTGAAAATGGATTAAAGACTTACATGTAACACTCAACTATAAAACTCAACTATAAACTTAAACTCTACTTAAGTATAAGACTCAACTATAAAACTACTAAAAGAAAACATAAAGGAAATGCTTCAGGACATTGGTCTAGGCAAAAATTTTATGGTTAAGCCTGCAAAAGCATAGGCAACAAAACCAAAAATAGACAAATGGGACTATACTAAACTAAAAGGCTTCTGCACAGCAAAGGAAACTATATACAGAGTGAATAGACACATGAGAGAAATCATGTCCACGCTGTTTCTCTGACAAAGGCCTGATATCTAGAATATACAAGAAAATGAAATAACAGAAAAAAAAAAAAACTCCAATTAAAAAAGTGGGCAAATTATATGAATAGACATTACTCAAAAGAAGACATACAAACAGCCAAGAGAATATGATAAAATGCTTAACACCACTATTCATCAGGGAGAAATGCAAATCAAAACCACAATGAAATATCATCTTACCCCAGTCAGAATGGCTACAATTTAAAAGACAAAAAAATAACATACTTGAGAGGATGAGGGAAAAAGGGAACTCTTATATACTGTTGGTGGGATATAAATTAGTACAATCACTATGGAAAACAGCATGCAGATCTCTCAAAAAACTAAAAATAGAACTACCATATGATCCAACAATCCCACTACTGGGTATTGATCCATAGGAAGATAAATCAGTATATCAAAATGATACCTGCACTTGTATGATTGTAGCATTATTCACAATACCAAAGGTATGGAATCAACCTAAGTGTCGCCCAACAGACAAACAGATAAAGAAAATGTGATATATACACAATGGAATACTATTCAGACTTTTAAAAAATGAAATCATGTCATTTGCAGCAACATGGAGGGAATCGGAGGTCAGAAAGACAATATCAGACCGGGTGCAGTGGCTCATGCCTGTAATCCCAGCAATTTGGGAGGCCGAGATGGGTGGATCACCTGAGGTCAGGAGTTTGAGACCAGCCTGGCCAACGTGGTGAAACTCTGTCTCTATTAAAAATACAAAAATTAGCCAGGCATGGTGGCAGGTGCCTGTAATCCCAGTTACTCAGGAGGCTGAGGCAGGAGAATTGCTTGAACCCGGGAGGCAGAGGTTGCAGTGGGCCAAGATTGCACCACTGTATTCCAGCCTGGGTGACAAGAGTGAGGCTCTGTCTCAAAAAAAAAAAAAGAAAGACAAATATCATATGTTCTCATTCATATCTGGAGGCTGAAAAAAGATCTCACAGAGGTAGAGAACAGAATGATAGAAACCAGAGGTTGGGAAGGGTGTGTGGTGAGGGGTGGGGGATGAAGAGGAGTTGGTTAATGTTACAAACATACAGGTAAATAGAAAGAATGACTTCTAACGTTCATTACCAGAGAGTAGAGTGACTCTAATTAACAATAATGTATTGTATATTTCAAAATAGCTAGAAGAAGACTTGAAATGTTCCTATCACAAAAAAATGATAAACACTCTTCTGGTGGATTTGATGGATACCTCATATACCCTGACACTTGCTCATGACACATTCTATACATATAATAAAACATAACGTGTATCCCATAAATATGTACAAATATTGGGTATCAATTAAAAATGAATAAATAACTCTTGAAGAACTTCCCACATTCCTCACAATGATAGTCAAAAACCCTGTATGATACGACTCCGGCCTAACTCTCAGACCTCTCTTCCTGCTGTTCCATCACTTACTCCACCTTCGTGTTACCTGCTCAGTCTGACTAGAATACTCTCACCTGGACACACAACTTGAACCCTTACTTCCCATCTCTATGCAAGCATGCCCACTTCAACACAGGCACCCTGAGCACCCAAGTTCTGCCATTTCACTCCATCACTCCTATTTCCTTGTCCTAATAGTACAATTCTCTGGCATTCCTTATATATTCATTTGCTTACTTGTTTGAGGCATGTCTCACAAACTGCTAGTGAAGTCCATGATGGCAGCGACTTTCTGTCTTGTTCATTACCTGTACATTACAGTACTGACAGAGCCAAGCACATGCCTTCTAGGAATGTACACTCAATACATAATTACTGAATATGAACACATTTCTTAGTGAAAACACATATAGAAATCTAAATGCAATAGCAGAGTTGGAAAGTAGCTGGATCCAAAATACGTGTTAAAAGTTTACACTGGGGACCAGGAGAGTGTACATGGGGGGCCAGAAGCATTGGCTCATGCCTGTAATATCAGCTACTTGGGAGGTCGAGGCAGGAAGACTACTTGAGGCCTAGAGTTCAAGATCAGCCGGGGCAACATAGCAAGATGCTGTCTCTTAAAAAATAATTTTAAAAACTGTTTAAAGTTTACGCTGGGAAAGAAAGAGGAAACTCACTCCATTAAAAGAGGAAGAAAACACCAGAAATTAGGTGATTAGTAAATGATGAAGTTCCTTGGGGATAGCTCCTATAGTGATCTTATTTCCTTGCCAGGTCTTGGGCATTTTTATCCAACGGGGGAACCTTGGGTCATTGAAGAAAGTTTTCCAAACCACATCTCAGGGGTGTGACTCCTCTCTGAGCACATGGGCTGTCCAGGACAATGATGGCTTCCCCCTGCCTGCTTTGTTCTCACTTACCTGGATACCATCTGCTTGTTTCTTTCCTTACAACAATCCAGGGCTCTTTCTCTTGCTCTAGTAACGTAATCACATCTGGCTTAGAAATGGAACTTCCTGCTTAAAAGAAATAACCCCTATAGAATTTTTTTAAATATAAAATTTTTTTTAAAACTCTGAGACCTAAACTTATAATAAATTACAAGCCTAAACAATATTGAGAAGAGACTCCAGATAAGAGAGGATTGAGTAAGGGATCAACTATGTTTAAAAAAAAAAAGAAAGGGCCGGGCGCGGTGGCTCACACCTGTAATCCCAGCACTTTGGGAGGCCGGGGCGGGTGGATCACAAGGTTAGGAGATCGAGACCATCCTGGTTAACACCAAATGAAACCCTGTCTCTACTAAAAATACAAAAAATTAGCCAGGCGTGGTGGCGGGCACCTGTGGTCCCAGCTACTCGGGAGGCTGAGGCAGAAGAATGGCGTGAACCCAGGAGGCAGAGCTTGCAGGGAGCCAAGATCGCGCCACTGCACTCCAGCCTGGGCAACAGAGCGAGACTCCATCTCAAAAAAAAAGGACTTTCATTTAAACTAATAGAAACTTATCCTTCAAGAGGAGGTATAATTTAGTGGTTGACAGCAGGAACCTTCAAGCCAGATTAGCTGGTTGAAATCCTGTCTCTGCCATCCACTAGTACTTTGACATTAAGCAAGTCACTTGAACTCTCCGTCCTTCAGTTTTCCCAACTCTAAAATAGGAATGATAATAATATCTGTTTTATAGGATTGATACTAATATTAAATAAGGTAATATATGTAAAATACTTCTAACATTCACTGATATGTAGTAGCACAAAGTTAACAATTATTATGTTTATTGTCATTATTTATTTTGCATCCTTAGACACTTACAGCTCATTTTAAGAATTTTCACCCCACAGGAAAGCATACACTTCATGGCCTGAAACTTTCAACTACAAAACAAGTAACAGAATGTTTGTTGATGGAAATGGAATACATTGACTTTAGTGCTAAATGAATTCTGTCAACCCAATATGTAAATTGTTGAGGCTTTTGTTTTGTTTTGTTTTTTGAGACAGTGTCTTGCTCTGTTGCCCAGGCTAAAGTACAGTGGCATGACCACGGCTCTCTGCAGCCTTGACCTCCCAGGCTCAAGCAATCATAGAGGCTCTTTTGATAGAAAAACTCAACACACTCTTCTCCTTATAGGTGGGCCAGAAAAACAAAAACAAACAAGAAAACCTACAGTAATTCTGAGGTCAAACATAATATGACACCCGGTTCTTGAACAATATCATTCAACGAATATCCAAGATTTCAAATTCAGCCCCATGGTCATGAAGTGAGAGAGGGGATTACAGAGACGACCAGCATCATGGAGGAGGCCACTGTGGAGTAAGCAAGATGCAGGGGCTCCAGGGAAGTGCCTATTTTCAACCCAACAAATCTCAATCCATTCCTTTGGGAATATGAAGAAGGAATCCAGCTACCTCTTAAAACACAGCCCTAAAATTCATGGTGAAGAAAGCTGATATTCCAGAGAACAGATGCTAAATTAACTGGGGCAGATGACCTTACCCAGTGAGATCAGGTGGCTGTAGTTCTCCAACATCACGTCCCTGTACAAGGTCCTCTGTTCAGGCTGCAGGCACTCCCACTCCTCCTGAGAGAAGTCGATGGCCACATCCCTGAATGTCACTGATCCCTGAAACCACAAACACATGTATTATGGTGAAATCGAAGAAAATTGTTTCAAGACGAAAGGAGAGGAAGTGAAGGATTAAACTGCAATAAAGGAGCAATATGGAAAATTGCAGAGTGCCTACACATTCTTCAAGAATCCTGCTGCTGGCCTGGCATGGTGGCTCAGGCCTGCTATACCAGCACTTTGGGAGACCAAGATGGAAGGACCGCTTGAGCCCAGGAGTTTGCAAACAGCCTGGGCAATGTAACAAGACGCACTCCCTGCAAAAAAAAAAGAAAGAAAGAAATAACTGTCGTTATTTAGAAATTATTATACCAGTTATAAAGAAATAACTGGTGCGTGTAGTCCCAGCTACTTGGGAAGCTGAAGTGGAAGTATCGCTTGAGCCTGGGAGTTCAATGCTGCAGTGAAGTGTGATGGCACTACTGCACTCCAGCCTGAGCTACTGAGTGAGACCCTGTCTCAAAAAAAAAAAAAAAAAAAAAAAAAAGGTAGTTGCATACAACTGAGGAATGCCCTTAATCCTCAAGCTCATTGTGGTATCCGATGATAGCAAAAGGATTTTTTCTTGTCAATGACAACTGATTTTTATAAGCTGCATAAAATTCAAAATAACTAACATATTAGATTTAGTCATTTTTTTCTATTTATACATTTAAGATGGTCAGAGTCTCTAAGCTTTTCCCCAATTCAGAGAATCTGTAATCACCTACCACTCATGCTCTGTATCTCCGTTACTGCCCACTGTCCTCACTGATCACTTCCCTAAAAGCCTCATAAAGCAGAACACCTTGTCACACTTGCAGACTGAGGCCACTCACTACGGAATTCTGCCTTAGCTACCTGGAAGGCTCCAGTCTGTGGAGAAGTTTCAAGGTGTTCCCAAGTGTGGTCAAATGCAACAATCATCTGTAGCTTATCAAACCCACAAGACCGTGTGTCCCTGTGGACCGACTCCTCCACTGTTCCAACATTCTTTCTGACCAAGGACTGAGCTCAGAGCACAGACTGAATAACCAGCTCAAAGAAAACATCAAAGCCAGTGGGAAAACAGAGGTATCAATAGGAAGAGCACTGACCTTTATTTTTTGGTCACCAACCTTCACTGTAATGGGACAAACTAGGGTGTAAGATCGTGGATCCTGGCCAGGCGCAGTGGCTCACACCAGTAATCCCAGCACTTTGGGAGGCCGAGGCAGGGGGATCACGAGGTCAGGAGATCGAGACCATCCTGGCCAACATGGTGAAACCCCATCTCCACTAAAAATACAAAAAATTAGCCGGGAGTGGTGGCGGGCGCCTGTAGTCCCAGCTACTCAGGAGGCTGAGGCGGGAGAATGGCATGAACCTGGGAGGCGGAGTTTGCAGTGAGCCAAGATCACGCCACTGTACTCCAGCCTGGGTGAAAGAGCAAGACTCCATCTCAAAAAAAAAAAAAAAAAAAAAGGTATTGATCCTTAGGTAAGAAGCTTCAGGTGAAATAATAAGTCACCTAACCTGAAAGTCACCGTATTTCAAGAAGAAGAGAGAACTACCAACTTACATGGACCATGTTTCTAGAATTACAAAATTGGTCAATCTTCCTCGGGCTTCTTCCCTGGAAAACAACAAGAAACAAAAGGCCGTAAGTCAAGCTGTGTCCCAAAGCACTAGAGCAAATAACTATTTTATTCTCCATTCCTATTTCTCAACTACTCCTGTTAACACGAACACTTCCCCCCCTCCCCCATCACTCCCTTTTCCCCTACACACACTCTCTCACAAATAAACTGGCAGTGAACAGGTGGAGTGTGGATGAAACCAAGCTCTCGCCTACATCCCAGGGAACCTGCGGCAGAAGCATGATTGCCCAGCACAGGCATTTCAGCCTTGAAGTTGCTCAAAAGACACTCTAGCAGGAGGGCTTCCAGCCAGTCCTCCAGTCTGGGGATACCTATCTTGGCTTAGGACTGGGCCTCTGATCCTGCTGTAAGCAATCCTCCTCCCCTAGCCCCACCTTTCAGAGCTGAGAAGGGATTGCGTCTCCAATCCAGAACCTCTCTGTGAACTCAGGATTGGGTGCAGTGGGGCAAGGCATGAGAACTGGAAAGGATATAGACAGAATTACATGGGCAGTGTTCAGCATTCTGAGCTCACCAAAAGCCAGCTGGTTAAGTACAGTTCAGAATAGCCATGTAATAGAATACGAAGTAATCATTAAATGATCCAGACATACAATTAACAGAAAAATCGGGTTACAAAGCAGGATAGACAAAATGATTACATTTGTAAAATATATGTATAAATATTAAGCAAGAGACTAATAGACATCAATAGAAAAAAATTTAGACAGGCGTATGCATGCTAACAGTACTTATCTCTGTGTTGTAGCCCCAATTTTCTTCTTTTTGCTTAAGAGTACTTCATAATTGTGACTATGCCCAGGCATTAAGTTGGAATATATAATTATATTCTCTCTCACACACACACATATATATACACACACATACACATGTGTATGTATCTGTATATGTACATATTTAAATGCACATACACATTTTTTTTTTTCCTGTGAGGAAATTGTTCTCCAAATTAGATGAAAGACACCTTTTATTTAGACATCTTCCTTTCAACTTGGGGACAAAGAAAGGAAACTCTACTGAGCTCTTGTTTTTATGTAATAAGTTTGCATCCATTATTTCCCAATTCTTGACCAACACTAAGATGTCTATGTTTTTCTATGTATGTTAGCACAATTTCTAAAACAAAAAATGGTCTACAAGTCCCCAATCAATGTCTTGTATGCATTAATGATGGTCATATTTCTACATCCGAATTCAAAAATAAAAATAAAACGGAGTTATCAGAGAGTACTTTTAATCATAAAAAAACAAAAAACTGAGCCTGTCATGAGGATCAACAGAAAAGATTAATGTGACTATAACAAATAACATCAGCTAGTTCTGACATCCTTTAGCTGTATCTCACCAATATAATTAGACATTTTCATTATCAAGACTCTTCTCTGAATGAACACAATGCAGATACGTGGCATCTGGAAACTACGTGAGAGAATCTGTGGAATATACATCATCATGCTTAGGTTCCCTTCTTCACCAAATAATTCATTAAAATACCATTTTGTATATAATTCCTACAGAATGCCTTACAAAAACCCTATCTTAGTATATGGGATTCATATACATGTAACATTTTCCTGAGCATTATTGTTCATAGCATGAATATTGCTTAATGGTATATCAAATATTTCTTTCCATAATTCTTTATAGACATCATTTTATTAGCTGCATAATACTCTATCACTTGAGTCTAGTATAATTTGCTTAGTGATTTCCATATTACAGGACACTTAGTTTATATGAGATCATTTACAGTGTCATTCCAGGTATCACAGTCTTTTGATTCTAGACTAAGGTTTTTCACCCGAGGCACTACTGACATATTGTGGTGTATAATCCTTTGTTGGGGCTGTGGGGAAGGTTATCCTGTGCACGGTACAATGTTCAGCAGCATCCCTGACCTCTGTCCACTAGATCTAAGTAGCACCTCCCCCACAGTGTGACAACCAAAAGTTCTTAAACATCATCCCTGCTGAGAATCAATGTTCCATCTAGATCAATGGATCCAAGCCTCATGGGTCACATACACTTTTGATAGTCTTGATATGATACACTATTTCTCCCTCTACATTGATACATTTCCATAGTACTTCAATATATTATTTCAAGAGCTTTATGGTCCCCAAGAGCGTAAGTGGAGTTACAGGAACTCAGGTTAAGAATTTCAGTCCTACATTCTTTACAGAAATAGAAAAAAAAAAAAATCCTAAAATTTGTATAGGACCACAAAAGACCCCAAATAGTCAAAGCAGTCTAGAGCAAAAAGAACAAAGTGGAGGCATCAAACTACCTGACTTCAATATATACTACAAAGCTACAGTAACCAAAACAGCCTGGTACTGACATAAAAACAGACACCTAGGCAAACGGAACAGAATAGAACGCCCCAGAATAAATTCATGTGTTTACAACCAACTGATTTTTGAGACAGGTACTGAGAACATACAATAAGGAAAAGACAGTCTCTTCAATATATACTGTTGTAAAAACTAGGTAGTCATACACAGAAGAATGAAATTAGACCCTTTTCTCAAACCATTATACAAAAATCAACTCTAAATGGATTAAAGATTTAAATGTAAGATCCCAAACTATGAAACAAATAGAAAAAAACGTATGGGGAAAGCTCCATAACATTGACTTGAGCAATAATTTTTTTTTCGGAAATGACGTCAGAAGCACAGGCAACAAAAGCAAACATAGACAAATGAAATTACATCAAGCTAAAAAAGCTTCTGCACAGCAAAGTGAAGAGACTACCTACAGAATGAGAGAAAATATTTGCAATAATGTATCTGATAAGGGGTTAATATCCAAAATGTGTGAGGAACTCAACAGCAAGAAAACAACCCAATTAAAAAATGGGCAAAGGACCTGATAAACACATCTCAAAAGATGACATATAAATGGCCACAGTGTATGAAAAAATACTCAACATCACTAATCATCAGGGAAATGAAATTTAAACCTACAATAAGATATCACTTCATATGTATTGGGGTGGCTATTGAAAAGACCTAAGTTAAAAAATGTTGGTGAGAATGTAGAGAAATGTGAACCATTGCACACTGTTGGTGAGAATGTAAAGTGACACAGACATTATGGAAAACAGTATGGAAGTTCTTCAAAAAATTAGAACTAGAACTACCATATGATCCAGCAATCCACTACTGGGTATACATCCAAAGGAAATGAAATCTGTATGTCAAAGAGACATCTGCACACCCATTTTTATTGCAGCACTATTCACAATAGCCAAGATATGGAATCAATCTAAGTGTCTGTCAATGAATGGATAAAGAAAATGTGGCATATATATACAATGGAAAACTAGCTATAAAAAAAGGGAAATGCCGTCATTCCCAACAACATGGATGAACCTGGCGAACATCATATTAAGTGAAGTAAGCCAGGCACAGAAAGACACATGATCTCACTCATCAGTGGAATCTAAAAAAATGTTTATATAGGCCAGGTGTGGTGGCTAACACCTGTAATCCAGCACTTTCAAAAGCAGAGGCGAAGGCCGAGACAGGCGGATCACTAAGGTCCGGAGTTCGAGACCACCCTGGCCAACGTGGCGAAACCCTGTCTCTACTAAAAATACAAAAATAAGCTGAGTGTGGTGGCGCACACCTGTAGTCCCAACTACTTGGAAGTCTGGGGCAGGAGAATCACTTGAACCCAGGAGGCAGAGGTTGCAGTGAACTGAGATTGCGCCACTGCACTCCAGCCTGGGCAAGAGTGAGACACTCTCTCAAAAAAAAAAAAGAAAAAAATTGCTATCATAGAATTAGAGAAGAGAATGCTGTTTACAGGTTGGGGGTAATGTGGGTGAGGGAGGGAAGGAAGTGTTGGTTGGGGAAATGTTGGTCAAAGGATATAAAATTTCAGGAAGATAAGAGAAATAAGTTCAAGAAATCTATTACACAACAGCATATCTACAATTAATAACTATTCTGTAGTCTTGAAAAATTCTAAGAGAGTGGCTATTAAGTATTCTCACCACAAAAATGATAACTATGTGAGCTAATGCATTGCTAATTAGCTAGATTTAATCATTCCACAATGTACATATACTATAAAACATCATGTTGCACACGATAAATACATACAATTTTATCTGTCAATTTAAAAAGAATTTCTGTCCTAGATCATTTGAGCAACTCATTTTCTTACTATGCAAGCAGCAATCACAACGAATCACACATTCCCAATGCTCCTGTCCTATAGACAGTCAAGGGAAATGACCTAAAATGGCCACACAAAAACAAAACTTAAAACATTAAACATTTATTATTATATGCCTAGCACTGCTCTAAGAGGCTTTACAGTATTCATTCATTCTAATGTTCATTACAAGTCTGAGAAGACCAGAAACGGACAGAACAAACATTCCAACCCAGACACTCTGGATCCACTCCCCTATTCTTAACCACAATAGTGTACTGCCTCTCACAGTCCACACACGCAAATAGCCCAAAACGCAAGTGGAACTGCCAAATCTCAGAGAGATCTGGCAATAATTACAATGATAATCGCATGGACTCTCCCAAAAAAATCCTGACTCTTGTTGATACCAATTTCTGTGCAATCACTTTCTGACTCCTGAAAGCCTCACAGAGGAAATCACCCAACCATCTCCATTCTTCCCTGCTTTAAAAAGGAGGCCTGTAAAGACAATCAGATACCCGGTGTGCGATTCCACAAACTAATCTTCTTACCAAAGCAGAGTCTAAAATAAAGCTTTAATATAAACCTCTGGAGGACTATTTTTATACCAGCTTAGAAGAGAGCGCACAGGAAGGTGTGAATGATTTGCCAAATAGTTCTGTGAATATTAAGTGTAAAAGTGGGGAGAGGGCGGGGCGGGGGCGACACGATGGGAGGGAGCAAGAATCAATTTGCATATTCTCCTGAAATTCACTAAAAATTTACAGGAACTTCTATTTTTTTTTTTTTTTTGACGGAGTCTAGCTCTGTCGTCGCCCAGGTTGGAGTGCAGTGGCGCGATCTCGGCTTACTGCAAGCTCTGCCTGCCGGGTTCACGCCATTCTTCTGCCTCAACCTCCCGAGCAGCTGAGACTACAGGCGCCCACCACCACGCCAGGCTAATTTTTTTTGTTGTTGTATTTTTAGTAGAGACGGGGTTTCATTGTGTTAGCCAGGATGGTCTTGATCTCCTGACCTCGTGATCCGCCCGCTTGGCCTCTCAAAGTGCTGGGATTACAGGCGTGAGACACGGCGCCCGGCAGGAACTTCTACATTCTGAAATCAAAAACGCATGTCTTAAACAAATACAAAGCACAAACTCACCCTTGACTTAAGTGTGCAGCAATAACGCTCTCATCCTCCTCCCGGTCCTTCTTTTGGATAATGGTACGACTGGGAAAGGATACGGCAAGCGTGAGACTCTAGGCTTTTCTTGGAGCGCAGACTAAGTTTGAAAGCAACCTCCATGGCCACAACTGCCCTCACTTCGTACGAAATGAGAAGGAAATAAAAGGAGGAGGAATCGGTCCGAATTCGAAGCTGGTTCCTGGGGACAGATCTCTGAAGGGATGCTGGGTTCTCAACATGTAGCTGCCCTCCTGGGGCACTCTCAAGAGACACTTCCAGCTCTCAAATTCCCACCCCGAGTCCAGATCTGCGCCTTCTTATGCAAAGCTTCATTCTCGGCTCGATATCTGACCTCCTTACTGGGGCAATTCCTCTGCTGCAGCCTCCGCAGCTTTGAAGGGGAAAGACGGAGGAAGCAGCAGGAGCCTAGTACCACTGCACAGTGACACTCACACAGCCCCAGCAAAACGCACTGCGTCCACAAGCCCTCCCGGTCCTGTGCACAGGGCCTCACGCACACACTCACACAGTCCCTTCCGTCACTCAAGATCACACAATCCCCCTCGTCTGATGCCCGCTCACACGCACGCCTAGGGATCTGGCAGATTCCGTCTGCGCCCCGGGTTCCTCTGAGCGCCTCGCTCTCGCCCACCCGCACTGCTGGGTCGGTCAGGTTCGAGTCCCAGTCCACGAAGACCTCCCGCAGTCACCGATTTCTTCTTAGGACGTGAAGACCTTACCCAGCTACGTCGTCAACCCCTGGAGGCCGGAAGTGGAACCGTTAATTCCGGTGCGGTGGCCTCTGGGAAATGCAGTCCTGAGCAGAAAGCGCCTCAGAAGCCTGTCTAGTCTGTTCAGATTGATCCCAGCATACACTGGAGGCTCCTAAGGGAGCCGAGCCTAATGGATTTGTGGGAGTTCCAGACCGTGGGGTGCAGAGGTTGCGGCCCCGGGCGAGGATCCCCGTCTAAGAGAAGCGTTGCTCTTCTCGGTGAGTCAGTGTAAATTACCTTTTCTCTCCATGCAGAAGAATGCAAATAAGCAGAACTTTTAAAGAAGAATTTAAAGTAAAATTACGTCAAGATGTAGCTGCTTTGACCTCTTCGTCTCAGATCCCAGCATAGGCTTCCACTTTGTGCTGTTTGAAGGGACTTAGGATAAATTTGAAAAACTTGAACTAAAGAAATGGTTGGAGAGGCCGGGCGCGGTGGCTCACGCCTGTAATCCCCAGCACTTTGGGAGGCCGAGGGGGGCAGAAGACGAGGTCAGGAGTTTGAGACCATCCTGGCCAACATGATGAAACCTCGTCTCTACTAAAAATACAAAAATTAGCTGGGCGTGGTGGCGTGTGCCTGTAATCCCAGCTACTCGGGGGGCAGAAGCAGGAGAATTGCTTGAACCCAGGAGGCGGAGGTTGCAGTGAGCTGAGATCACGCCACTGCACTCCAGCCTGGCGACATAGCGAGACTCCGTCTCAAAAAAAAAAAAAAAGAAAAAAAGAAAAGAAAAGAAATGGTTGGTTTTACTAGAAGAGGAAGTGTGGTTTACATGAGAGATTTCAGAATCAAATGTACTTGATTCTTAAAGACAATCTTCCCGTTATCTGGAGAGAAAAACGTGATTCAGGACGGCATGGAAATGGATAAAAAAGTACACAGAGAATTACTTGCCTTATCTTGAAGGATGACTAATTAACACATTTTCTTAAAATAGTCTAAACAAATGCGAAAGGGGGCTTGTTTTTTGTAGGAAGAGCCCGATTTCACTGTTGTAATCTAGCAAAATTTAACTTTCAAAGTGATTTTTGTAGTTTCCTATGCTACATAAGGAGGAAACAAGGAATAATAAAGAGCAAAATGTCTTTTCATTCCCAACTGTGACAGAAAACAAATAGCAAGATAACAAACTTAACTCTGTCAATAATCACATTAAATGTAACTGGTTTAACACCTTAAGAAGGTTGTCAGGTTGGATGTTTTTTTAAAAGTCAGACCCAAATACGTGCTACCTACAGGTAATACTTTAAATATAAAAGCACTAATAGGTTAAGAGTAAAATGATGGAAAAATATATACCATCCTAACACTAGTCAAAAGAAAGCTGGAGTGGCTATATTAAAAACAAAGTGACTTCAACAAAAAGACTGTATCAGAGATAAAGAAATTTACATCATAATAATGATGAAGGATACAGTTCTCCAGTGGAAAGAACAAACCTAAATTATGCCCTTAATAATACAGCTTCTAAGTATGTGAGTGAAAACCTGTTAGATTAATAAAGTGACAGACAAACCCACAATTACAATCAGATATTTCAACATATCTCTCTTGGTAATTGATAGAACTAACACAGGAAAGCAACAGTGTATAGATTATCTAAACAACATATCAACCTGCTTGATCTCATTTACACTTCTGGAACACTCTTCTCAAAGACAGTAAAATTCATCTTAGGTGGACAGGGGACACTTACAAGCATATACCATATTCTGGGCCATAAAATAAGTCTCGATAAATGGGTAAATGGACTCAAGTCATACAAAGCATGTTTTTGACAAAAATGAAATGAAATTAGAAACCAATAACAGCTCACTATATATTGTTCAAAGTAGTAAAAATTTGAAAATGTATGAATACTGTGATAATTGAAATTATATAATGTTTGAAAATTTTCTTTATGAATCATAATTTTCTGTTATATCCTAAAGGGTAAACAATAACATATTTGCATTAAAACAAAATAATGTTTTTGTAGTAAGGAAAAAATTTTAAGCTCTCTATACTGACTATACATTAAAGAGCAGAATAATTATTTTTGGTATATATTCCAATGCTTTAATCAGTTTCTTAGCCAGTATCACCATATTTTTAAGGACTTTTTTCAATGCAGTCTATTATTATTATTATTTTTTTTTTTTTTTTTTTTTTTTTTGAGACGGAATTTTGTGCTGTCCCCCAGGCTGGTGTGCAGTGGCGACACCAGATGGTAACTTGAATCCACACAAAGAAATAATGAGCAGTGATTAAAGTCACCACATAGGTAAATAAAAGATAATATACACTTTTACCCTTTTACTTTAACTGATTAAAGGTAACTGCATAAAACCATAATTTTACAATTGTTTTGTTCATAATGTATAAAGTTGTCATTTGTGTCACATTTGTATTACTATAATAGCACAAACGAAGGGGAGGAAGGATCTATATTGCAGCAAACTTCCTATATTAGTATTATTTAATCTATTTTGATCAAAATTTTATTTCTAATTTTTTGTGGAGACAGGGCCTCACTATATTGCCCAGGCTGGTCTTGAACTCCTAGCCTCAGGCAATCTTCCCACCTCGGCCTCCCAGAGTGCTGGGATTACAGGTGTGAGCCACCATGCCTGGCCACTGTTAATACTATGTTAGTAACAATATCAATTAGATTTTTTAAAGCTAAGATGTAAATTAGGGTTTTTTTTTAAAGCTGAAAACAAACAGGTGGAAAACAAAAGGATGGAAAAAGATACAAATAGATACCATACCAATGGTGATCAGAAGAGAATAGAAATGGTTAATAACACCATCAGACAAAACAGACTTTTAAAATGTTACTAGGGAAAAGGAGAGGCATTTATTTAATGTTAAAAGAGTGAGTTAGGCCAGGTGCACTGACTCACACCTGTAATCCTAGCACTTTGGGAGGCCAAGGTGGGCAGATCACCTGAGATCGGGAGCTCGAGACCAGCCTGATCAACATGGAGAAATCTTATCTCTACTAAAAATACAAAATTAGCCAGGTGTGGTGGCGCATGCCTGTAATCCCAGCTACTCGGGAGGCTGAGGTAGGAGAATCACTTGAACCTGGAAGGTGGAGGTTGCAGTTAGCCGAGATTGCACCATGGCACTCCAGCGTGGGCAAAAGAGCGAAACTCTGTCTCAAAAAAAAAAAAGGGTGAGTTAATCAGAAAAATATAACTACAATGAACATATACGCTCCTAAAAACAGGAGACTGCATACATGAAACAAAAACTGACAGTACTGAAGGGAGAAAATGACATTTCAACAATATAAGTTGGATATTTCAACACTCCATTCTCAATAAATATAGCAACTAGACAGAAAATCTGCAAGGACGTAGAGGGTTTAAGCAACACTACCAACTAGTTTGACTTAACTGATATTTATTGAACCCTCAACTGGTAATAAAATACATACTCAACATGCAACATTTTCTAAACTAAATAATATACTAGACCATATGGCAAATCATAGTAGTTTTAAAAAGTCATACTAAGTGTATCCTCTGACCACAATGAAATTTAGAAATAAAAAATTGAGGAAATCTGGAAAATTCAAAAATATTTTAAAATTATTCAACACATTGCTAAATATCCCATGGATCAAAGAAAAAATTATAAGAGAAATTAGAATTTTTGTATTTTACTTCTTTAAAATAGATATGGAATCTCGCTATGTTGACCAGGCTGGTCTCAAACTTCTGGCCTCAAGCAATCCTATCTCAGCCTCCCAAAATGCTGGGAATACAGGCACAAGTCACCGCACCTGGCCTAGAATGTATTTTTAATAAAAACAAAAACAACCAAAATTTTTGGAGCAGCTAAACATGTTTTTGGTGAGAAATTTCTAGCTTTACATGCCTCTACTGCTAGAAAAGAATAAAGATCTAAAATCATTTGGTAGACTTCACCAGTGAAGCCATCTAGTCCTTGGCTTTTCTTCATTAGGAGGTATTGAATTACTATTCAGTCTCCTTACTGGCCATAGGTATATTCAGATTTTCTGTTTCTTCATGATTGTCCTAGTCACGTGAGTGTTTCTAGGAATTTTTCCATTTTGTCTAGGTTATCCAATTTATTGGCATACAATTGTTAAAAGTACTCTTGCATAACGCTTTTTATTACTATATAATTGGTAATAATGTTCTTTGTTTTATTCCTGATCCTAGTTATTTCGGTCTTTCTTAATCAATCTAGCTAATGGTTTGACAATTTTGTTGAGCTTTTCAAAGAATCAACCCTTAGTTTTACTAATTTTCTCTATTATTTTTATTATCTAATATGTTATTCTTCAATCTTTTTATTTCAGATTTAGTTTCTTCTTCTTTTCTAGTTTCTAAGGGCATAGTTAGGTTGTTGACTTGAAATCTTCTTTTTTAATGTAAACACCAATATCTACAAAATTATCTTAACACTGCTTTTGCTGCATTCCATAAAATTGGTATGTTGTATTTTCATTTACTTCATTTTCATTTTCATTTCTTCTTTGATCCACTAGTTAAGAGTATGTTTAATTTTCACATACTTGTGGATTTTACAGTTTTACTTATGCTATTGAATTCTAGTTTCAATCTTTTAAAATTACAACTTCTTCTGTGGCCTAAGACGTAGTTTATCCTGGATAATAATACACATGTACTTGAGGAAAATGTGTAGTCTGCTACTGTTGGGAGGAAATGTTATATATATATACATAATTGGTTCAAGTCCCCTATCTCCTTATTGAACTTCTGTCCTGTTATTCTATACATTATTAAAAGCAGTGTATTGAAGTCTCCTACTATTATTATATAGATGACTATTTCTTACTTTAATTCTGTCAATGTTTGCTTCATATATTTTGGAGCTCAGATGTTTAGTGTATATGTATTTGTAATTGATATATCTTCTTGGTAAGTTGACCCTTTTGTTGCATATTATTTGTCTCTTCTAACACTTTTTAACTTACAGTCTATTTTGTCTGATGTTAATATAGCCATGCCCATCTTTTTAATTGCTATTTGCATGTGATATCTTTTTTCATCTTTTCACTTTCAAACTATGTGTGTCCTTAGATCTAAAGTGAGTTTCTTATAGATAGCATTTAGTTGGATCTCATTCTTTTATCCGGTCTGCCAATCTGTGTCTTTCGATTGCCAAGTTTGATCCATTTACATTTAAAGTAACTATTAATAAGGAATGACTTACATTTGCCATGTTGTATTGTATTATAGTTCTCTGTATTATAGTTCACCCACTCCCACATTTCCTCCCTTACTGCCTTCCTCTGTATTAATTTTCTGTAATAACACATTTTAATGTCTTTTTTATTCATGGTATTTTTGTTAGTTTTTAATGGCTGCTATGAGATTTACCATATATATATCTTGGAGTCAGCTTCAGAGCTATACTAACTTGATCCCAGTGAGATATATAAATGTTACTCCTATATAGCTCTAATCTATTCTACTTTAATT